AACAAAATAAAATTAAATGATGTTTTTACTCTAATGCTGGATTTCCACTAGGCATTAACTGCCAGCAATTTTAATGAGAAGCGTCGCATTAAAAATTATTTTTGTCATTACTTTAAAAAATAGTCATTAAATTTATTTCCACATGCCATTTTTTAAATGCCTCCATTTTTTTGTCATTTCATTTCTAGTGGAAATTAGGCATTATGCTACTATCGGTTTCCCCAATATCCCACCACATAAAACGAATTCTGCAAAAATAAAATCCATAAACACTTCTTATGAGATCCTACTAAGATTTATCATTTTTTATAATTTCCTAATCTAACCTAAAAAAAAGAAGAAAAAATTACATGCTATTTGTCAGGAGACCGCAACAAATCCTCTACCATTAATCTTCCACTGTTTGCGCGCAGCTCACCCCTGCCTAAAACCTAACCTAAATAAAAAAAGAACAAGCTATGTGTCAGGGGAGCGCGACAAGTCAATTTTCCACGCTAGCAATCAACAGCGAAACAATTTTTTGTTTATATTTTATTTCTATTTTTTATCGTGCAAGCTTGCCTTCTCTACCATTAACCTTCCCCAGTTTGCGCGCAGCAGCATTATTTACGCTCATTACACGCTATTTAAACAAAAACAGCATAGCACCCATGGGCGTAGCCAGGTAGGGGCCGGTGTAGGGATGGTGGAAGTGGGGGGTTGAGATTCGATTTTTTCCGAATATCGAATATTGCCCAACCATTCGATTCGAAATTCGGTGGTGCAACTTCGGTTTAATTCGAATTTTGCAAAGCTTTTTTGAAGTGAAGCTTCTTAATCGAGTTCGGAGATGTTTGCGATAAATATTTAACACCAAGTCATAAAATCTGTATCGCTGTAAATGTGTAACATGGTTTTAGCTTTGTGCCATATGTAAAATGTATCAAAATCAAATTATTTAATAAGTTAAATAGATTACTCCAAATGGTTTTGAATAAACTTTATTTTTTTAATTCCATTTGGGAGGGTTGCCACCTGTTTGAAAAGTCGAATTTAGTTAAAGAAGTGTTGTAATTAAAATACTATGCAACAATTAATGTATTTTTGAGGTGCTTTAAGAGAGTGATCACCTGTTTAAAAAGTTAAACTCAAATTACACTGTGCGACAGCTGAAGCCAGCCCGGACTTTATTGACATTTTCTGAATGTATACCCATCCAGTAGTAAAACGCTCGTTGGATTTGCAAAAGTTAGCTCGTATTTTTATTTTACGGCCTACTAAAGTTTTCATATCTCGGCCTAGGTAGTTTTCAAAAAAGTCGAAAAAATAGTTAAAATAAATGTCTGAGCGAAATTAAAGGTTAAGACATATATATTAAAATTTCTTGGGAAATATTTTCGTAGAACATTTTAACTCATTAGCTACCAATGTAAAAGCCTATAAAAATTTAAAATAAAAAATTAA